CTCCCCCACCCCAGGTCAAGGCCCCACCACCAATCCCATTGTTAGCACAGCTGAGCCGGTGTGGCCCTGGGCGCCAGGTAAACCAACACCAGGCAGGGCATTCCGGGGAGACTCCAGTGAGCCCGTCTTGGGGCAGGGTGGGCCCTACCTAATCAGGTGGTGGCTGGTGAAGAGGTCTGATGGCTGTGGGCTGGTTGGGGGGTGGGGTCAAACCATTTCAGTTGTGCTGTTTTCTCTCTGGAAACTGACTTAAGGGGGTGGGAGGAGTGAGTCAGGCTTTCTGGAAGTCCGCTGGGGGCCACCCACCAGACCGCGGGGCCTCTGCTTGCCTCTGAGGGTTTCTCAGGAAACTCCAATGAGAAGGAGGTCTGGGCCCATCTTGCCTTTGACTTAGAATGTTCCGCATGGTCGGCCACCCTCCTTGTGCCTGATTTTCTCCTGGGCTTGCATCTCCGTCTCCCTCTCATCGCTCTTCCCTTATGATGGGTCCCAACCCGGCCTCTCGCCCTGCAAGCTGACCTCCCCACCTTCTCTCTCACAGCCCGTGACCTTGGCCCAGCCTCTCGGCAGACGCTTCATGATGGGATGGACTGAAATGTCTCCAGACGCCGGTCTTTTCCTGATGTTCTGCGACTGCTGGGCAGACAGCGCCCTGGTCTTTGCGTGCGTGTGTGTGTGTGTGTGTGTGTGTGTGTCTTTCCCCGGAATCTAGCGTTGCACACTGGCCCTGTCCCCCCCTTTCGCCGTCTCCCTGCCTACACCCCCGATGTCTCCCTGTCCCCCCTCTGGTGTTTGGGCTGGTCCAGCTCCAGGTTTCTTTCCCAAGGAGGAGCCAAGAGGGGAATCCGGTTTCAGCCGTGTTTGCAACGTTGACAGTTCAATAAATACTGAATGAGTTTAGCAGACGTGCCCGTGTCCCTGCGTGTCCGTTTTACTCCGGGAAGCACCCCTCCGTCTCCGTCCCAGGGAAGTAGCCCCCAGCTATTGGGGGCTCAGGATCCAGGCGCCTTGCTTATGAATGCGCACTTGTAGCAGCTCTGAGCTTACGCAGCAGCCAGGACAGGAATTTAAACGCCACTGACTCCCAGATCCTTTGTCCAAATAAGTCACGCCAGTGACCTAAAGTCTCGAACACTAGTGTTAGTTTGCCAGGGTTTCCATGGCAACGTACCACACAGACCAGGCGGCCCCAACAACTTCCTTCCTCATTGTCCGCAGGCTGGAAGGCTAAGGTCAAGGTGTCCACGGGTCTGCTTTCTTCTGAGGCCTCTCTCTCTTGCAAAGAGTCACCTCCTCGCGGTGTCCTCACATGATCTCTGCCTGTGTTCCCTGTGTCCAAATTTAATTTCTAAGACCCAGTTAGATTGGAAAAGGACCCACTTTAGCAGCCTCTTTAATTACCTTTTTAAAGACCCATCTCCACACAGTTTTTGACAGGGCTTCACTATGTTAATTTGGGGGTGGGGGTG